TTTTAATATTCTTAAAATTGTATTAGATTTTGCATACCAGAGTAATATCAATATTCTTAGCATAGGAGCTGATGGAGTACGTTCAGAATTTAATGCCCAAATACAAATTATAAATTCAGCATCAACATATTTTACGTTTGATGATCCATTTTATGATGTGCATTTAAAAGTACCAATTATTAATGGAAAACCATTGGTTCATATTCAGGATCTAAAGTATGCTAAAAAGATAGCACGAAATCAACTATTTATCGGAATACGACTTCTTTCATTAGGAATAGATACTACACGATATGATCAACTCTTTCAGTTAACACAAAATTATATTTTATTAAAACGGGATGTTATTAATGTTGATAAACAAGATGATAGTGCTGCATATAGAATATTTTATTCAGAAACTTTGGCACAAATTGTTGAATCAGAAAATGTTCCTTCTAATATGATTGGACTTTTTATTTACTTGTTTATTCTTGGTAAGTTATTTAATTTAAAATAAAATAAAATTATTTAAAAATTAATTTATATTTATTTTAATAAATAGGAGAATTATGTGACGCATATCTTAATCGAAAAATTGATTATAAAGCAAGAATTCGAATAGTTATGCGTGCATTCTTTTTTTTAAAATCTGAAAGATTATATTAAACATTGTGATACAACTCATTCATCAAAATGGTATAATATGTAACGTAGTATTATTTCTATTCAAAGCTTTGAAATTTTTATTAGTATAGCAGAATCCTTAATAATGCTTATTTTGATTCATCAAGATTACTATTCTAAATATCCTTTATTTCTATGGGAACATAGAACTGAAGCAATTGAACATATTTTTGGTATATCACGTCAAGTAATAGCAGATTTTAATTTTTATGAATTTTATAAAATTCAAAAACGTGTTATGTATCGAGATAAAATATCACGTACTGAATTAATTGATACATCAAAAGATCGAACATCAGCTGCAGGTAAGAATTTATATTAATTAAAATATAAGTTAATTAAAAATTTACAATTTTAAACATTTTTTAGGTTATGTATTTGATATTGATGGAACTTCTATTTTTCATAAAACTATTGAATGTTTACGTACTTGGCCATTTGAAGATAATATTAAAGAAGCAATTCGCATTGGATATAATGAAGCAATAGCATTAGCAAATTATCTTGAAATTAATAATCATAATTTAACTTCAATTCAACAACAGATTAAAATTTTTTCAGATAATACGGATGTCTTAAAAATAATTAATAATGAAGATGATCAAAATCAAGATTTTGGTATGAAGTTAATTTATTTGTTAATTTAAATATTTATTAAATTTTCTAAAATTATTATTTTATATTAGAACAAATTGAATTACAAATAGGATCTGAAAATATTAGAACTGCTGCATTTGAAGTTTCTCGACTCTTATTAGACAAATCTAATGATAGTGAAGAAATTATAGATGAAAATGAAATAACAAATTCTTTAAAAAAATTTCCTGATTTATAATATATCCTTAATCAAAAACTAATTCCTCAAAGACAATTCGAAAAATTTGATCTATTTTTTACACCTGAAGGATTTTTGTGTTCTAAAGTCTTAATTAATATTCGAAAAAACCATAATGCTTTCTCACAGCATTCAAAAAGAATTTCTAACAATCAAACTGCATGTAACACAACTGATTCACTTAATCTTAATAATGCTAACCGGTTAATTACTAAATTTACAAATAATTCTATTTAAGAAAATCGTATAAATAAACGAAAAGATCGTTGGGAAGGATGTAAAAGACTTGCAACTATTCCAATAACTGCTAGAATTAATGGTATTATTTATTAGCATTTTAAACTTATATTATTTTATCTTTTTAACTTTTTTAACCTATTAATTTAATAATATAATTTTTTTAAAGTACACAATATTATCGATGCAAATATGTTTACTATTCATCCTTTAGTCTTAAATGGATATTTAATCATTTATTCTGATAAAAAACTTTGTATTGCTCAAATTATTTCAATATATGAAAAGCAAGGAGAACGACATGCTTGGATAAATGGAGATGTTGAATCCTTGGATCACCTATCTTATCTTTCAGTTAAAATTTATTTGAATTTTTATAATAATCTTTGGACTAATACATGTGAAGTAGGAGGGAAATTAGTTGGTCACATTCCAGTAAAAGAAGTCTTATATTATTTTAATTTACCTCTTTTTATTGATTCTCAAGATTCTTTTTTTACTTTAACAACAGAAGCTATGGAAGTTTTTCGGCATTTCAAAACACCTGAAATGATATTATATCTTACAAAAATTTTTCTTAAATAATTAAATATTATAGCTAATTTTGTTGTTTTTTATAATAATAAAACTATAAATATGTTGCTATATTTTTATGGTTCGAATACCTTTAATTATTTTATACTTACCGTCATTTTGGTTTGCATAATTAATAAAATCATGTGGTTCGCAATCATATGATTTTTTCAAATTTTAACGGTAACCCCTATTAGAAGTTTTTCAGGTTCTCAAATGATATGATAAATATATTGTATCATTATACTTGTTCATTAATTATATTTCAAACAAATAAAATTATATAATAAAATATTTTACAATTTTATTATTTATAATTTTTAAACTTTAAAATAAAAAATTAAATGTTAATTTTAAAATATCTTAAAGTAAATAATAAAAATACTTATATACATAAATAATATAATATATATCTTATTTATCAAAAAAAAATAAAATATTAACAAATAAATAAATAAAATTCTAAACAAAAAGATATATATAATATATGATTTATAATAAAAATGATTTATATACTTTTTAATTATAAAAGTATATATAAATAAAATCATTGTAAAAGAATAATAAAATAATATAATAATAAACTTAATTATATATTATAATCATTTTTAATAATTATAACAAATATAAAAATATTAAGAACTTAATATTTTATCTAATATAATCTGACTTGATTCAAATTTATTTAAACTTTTTAAAATTAATAATATAATTATATTACTTTAATTTTTAAAAATTACTATTATTAGATTTATAAAAAGAATTAAAGATAGTTATTTTATAATCATTAAGTGTCAAAAATAATTAAATTTACTAAATTTACTAAGTATTATCTGAATTGTTCTAATTAGATCAGATAATCTAATCTATTTAAAACTCCAATTATTGCAATTATAAAGTTATATAATTTTAAAATAGTAAATAATTACATTCATTTGATATTTATTATTTATTATATTCTTTTTTCAACTAGTACACTTAATAATTAAATTAAAAGATAGTTTTATATTATAATTAAAATGCATGAAATTATTTTTACATAATTTTTACTATAAAAGTAGTTTCTAAAAGATATCAATTAGAATAAATAATTAAATTTATTAATAATTAATAATACCAAGCTTTTTATTTTTATAATACTTATGCATTTATTAATTATTTCCTAGCTTTAAATATTAACGTTAAATATTTAGCCTAAAAATCTAAATTTCTAATATTTTTAATGTTTGATCTACTCCAAAAAAAGAAGCCCGGAAGGACTTGTAGAATCGATCAGAACTAGTGCATTGATGGTAGAATTACACTTATAGATGTTCACTGTCTGATTTTGTTCCATATAAGATTTACCGAATTCTTCTATATGCTATGCAAACCTTTTGTTGAGTTCGGAATATCGATTTCGAATTCTTTTAAATGAATAATTTTTTACTGCCAAGTATCAATTGATTTTGCTAAAAAGAGCTAATACACATTATCTATCGACATTATTTGTTTGTTTAAATATTTATTTAACTAATTTCTTTTTAGTATGGATCATAAATTAAACAATTATTATGGTTAATAGATCGATCAGATGAAGAATCACATGATATTTAATAAAATTGAATCTTGAAAATCTGGATTCATAGATGCTCGGAATAGTTTGATTGTGAGTTCAAAAAGTGGTTAATCCATAGCAAAATATTTTGCATTGAAGGTGTATCATCCAATTTAAAGTTTAGAAATTCTCTATTAAATGGAAAAATGTCTAGCAAAGATTTTCATAGAAAAAATTTATTAGGAATCTTTTCGAAAACTATTCACGAAAGCCGACATGTTTTAGTATCAAATTTACTTGATTTTGATGGAACTTTAGAACAACGACATATATTTTTACGCGTAACCTGAATTTCTTTGTATATAACAACGTGATATCACAGTATTAAATGTATTGCATGCAATTTGAATTTCTTATTGTGGTAATTCACCCCGACAATCCTTTATTAGATTTCCACATTATATAAATAGCAATCAAATGAGGAAAATTCAAACATTTTTTCTCTGTCAAAATTTTTTTTTTCATTTTTAGTGAAGAAAGCCTTTAACGTTGACATATAATTATACCCTTTTTTATTAAATAGTCGATATGGAAGATGATACATTAGATGCATTAAGTCGCCTTTCCCTTGATTTACTAAACTTTCTACAAACGCAAGATTATGAGAGCTTACTTAGTATCACAGATTCGTTTCCTGAATATTATTCTAGAGGAAATCAATTTGATGTTATAGTAAGAATTGATGGTGAAGATTATTATTGTAATTCGGATGTATTAATTTCACGGTCATCGTATTTTCGAACCGCTTTATCACATAATTATGCTGTTAAAGAAGGTTCATATATCATTTTAGAGGAAGAAAATATTTCTCCGGATACATTCAAAACATTGTTAAGGTAATTTAAAAAATTTTTTTTCACCTCTCTTCTTTTGCAATTTATTTCTATTAACGAAAATAAAAACTTTTCGGGGACGAAATAGATATTTTTATCAGGGAGAGATTAATTTGAATAAGTTAGAAGGGGGACTTTGCGTTAATTTATTAAGAGCAGCGGAACATTTTAGACTTGAAGAATTTATTGAAGATTTACAACGACATATGATACATAATAAAACCTTGTGGCTACAACACAATTTTATAAGAGTTGTTAACGGAGTGTTTATAATTGATGGAGATGAACGCATAAGACATCATTTGGTTCATAAGATCAATGATAATCCATGGTATTTATTAAAATCAGATGAATTGGGCGCGTTAAGATTATCATGTTTTTTATCATTAATGGAGGATGAATGCTTTATAGTTAATCAAGGAATCGTGTGGGACATATTAATTAGATGGGGGATACAACAAAGTTCAACATTAAAACTTGGCGCTCCAAATTGGATTTATGAAGATTGGATGACATTAAAAGAGGCTGTTAAAGATTTGATTCCTCGAGTTAAATTTTCCAGAATATCACGTAATGATTATTATGGAAAGATCTTACCTTTTAACAAGATAATATCCGTAAAAGAAGCGAATTTAGAGGACGAAGAAGTATTAATTTGTTATCTTAATAAAGATGTTGTATCCCCTCATAGTAAATTATTAAGACAAATATTTTTGGATGATAGCTCTATAATAAATCATTTTCATGCAAATATCATACTAAAATGGATTAATGAAGGTAGACAAGGACACGAAAATTTTTCATCTCATCCAAAAATCAGTAAATCCTTTTTTAATTTTTTTTGTTTTACAAAGAAACGACGACAACAATGTAAATCACAACCGTCGATGACATATCAATTTAAGTTATTATTTCGCAGAAGTCGTGATGGATTTCCCGCAGATGATTATCGCAAAAAATGTGATAATTTACCAAATACTTTAGTTATAGCAAAAATTCAGGGTTCCAAAGCTATCGTTGGTGGATTTGCCCCGAGAGGATTAGATTTAGGATTTCTTACATTATATACTCCCGCAATTGATTCCAGTTTTTTATTTAATTTTAAAAGTGGTGATCCGTCAATGGAAATGGAAAATACCATATTATGTAAAATGCGTTCAGATAGAGAAATTGAAAGTGAATACATTCCTTATTTATGGACCGGTCCTAGATTTGGTGTAAAAGATTTGGCCATTGATTTACATAAAATGAAAGCTATATCTGTTCCTCAATATTATGACTACCCCGTTCATGATTCTAAAGAATTTAATATTGATGATGTTGAAGTTTATCAGATTATTGAATATTAATATATATTATTTATATATCATTTGTATTTATTTCATTAATTATCTAACCGTACTGTATATGGGAATTTGACCAATTTTTAGCTCACTCCAACTAAAAATTTTACATAATATTCTTTTATTATTTTCAAAATTTAATTCAAATTTACTTTTGTATTATATATATGTTTTCATTATATTACTGATATATTACATTATAAGTATAAATAAAAATGCGAACATTTTTTATTTAATCCCATCCAAATACTTAAATCTTAAATACTTTAACGAAATTGCTAAACCTTTATCGCCCACTGTTGATCATCTTAATACATACGCATTAAGAACGATTTACATTAAAATACGATCATAACTCAAATGAAAGGTTAAAAAATTGCTAAACGAAATCGAACTTTGTACTTTCTCTCTCAAAAAGCACAAGTTATGGATTACGCCAAGAAACATGAAAGAAATTATGGAGCTGCTCATTTTGAACTTAATGCCTGGATGCTAGGTAAAGATAAACATAAACTGGTCAGTAAAGATAGCAGACAGGTTTGAGCTAATCGAAGAGCTTTCTTTCTTGAAACCGAAAGAAGATAGACTTTTGCTATGACTTATGAAACAAATGCTAAAAACATTAGAAAACCTGGAATTACAATAATACACACTAATGAATTTTAAATGTTTTATCATTAGCTAGTTGCATTTTAAAATGACATAGATTACCATTATGATAACATAAAAATGTTCGAATAACTACCAATTCAAACTCAGGAATTATTAGAAAAAAATTGTTATTCATCTTAGAACTGAAAAATCCTTCAAATTAGATAAAACTTTTAATATAGGTGAGATATTTATTATAGCTGGCAATATTAATTAATTTAAAAATGAAAAGAATATACATATTTAAGCAATAAATAATGAAAGAAGTTTATTATAGTTTTTAATATGTGTAGATGAGGATTCTTTCACAGAATTAATCAAAAAGAGAAGCAAAATCTTATTATTTTAATTGTTATTATTCATTATTGTAAATAGTATTAGATTTACTTATCTTTATTTTTAAAGGAAATATATACTATAAAAAAACTAATCCCTTTTAGGGTTGTAAGTAAACAGATAGATAAATTATTAAGCTAATAAATAAGTATAAGTAAAAGTTCATAATATTAATATATAATGTTATATAAAAGAATCAGTTTAAATTTAGTTTTGCAAAAAATAAATATAATTTGATTGTAATTTAAAAGAATTGATTAGCATTTACTAATTATCTGATGTTATAAAAAAAATCTATAAAAAAAAAAATAGTAAAATTAAATAACTAAAATGATATTAAAATAATTACTATATAAAATTTTTATTAAATAAAATTAATTGATATTATATATAGATTAAGATTGCTTGTTTAAACATATTTTAGATTTAAAAATTGTTTAAACTTTTTATATTATTAAATTTATTAATATAGTTTTATAAATTTTAATATAATTTTTTTAAAATATAATTATATCAAATTTTATCTTTTATTATTAAATAATTTGCTAATTTTTAAATTTTATATAAAAGTATATGATCATAAATAATATTATTAATTATTATTAGGAAGTTTATATATATGATATAATTATAAATTACTATAGATTTGATCCTACTTTTCTAGTGAGATTACTATATCATGTGATAATTAATTTTTTATTTCAGCCAATAATTATTAAACATCATATTTTATATTTATAATAAATTATAATACTAAAAAAAAATATACTGTTAAAGAATTGTAATAGATTTAAACATTGAAGATTTTATTTAATTATATTATTAATATTAATTTATTAGTTCTTTTTACTATATTTAGATATTATTTACTAAGATCAAGTTGATTTCTTAGAAATTCTAAATAATTTTAATAATTATAAATTTAAAAGTTACTATATTAAAAAGTTAAAAATTAATTTACCTTTATGATATTAATTAATATAACTTTTGTTAAAATATGTTCAATTAACTAGAGATTTTTCAATATCTTATATCTAAAAATTTAAGTATCATAAATTATTTAATAAGATAGATAATAATTTATTTTATAGTCTTTCACATTTGGGTTGATTACTAGAAAAATCAGGTTTTGGAAATTTTTTAGCAAAATTGAGATTTTTATTGCATTTTAATTTTTGATGTTATTAGATTAAAATGTATTAAGCTCTTAA